GAGCAAACCCAGGTCCCCTCCTTGGCCAAAGCTTCTGTGTCACGGACTCCTCGGACGAGGTGGGGCGGGGGGCTCGGGGGGCACCGCCATCGCCCTTGGCACCCATCGGGGCTGTCCCGGACCTGCTGCTGGGCTCCGCTGGGGGCTGGGGGCTGGGCGAGGAGCTCCTGCCGTGCCAAAGCCCGGCCCCAACACTCGTGGCTCCCCCAGGACGTGGGGACAAGCGGTGACACGGAGACCCTCAAACTGCGGAGGGCGGGACGAGCTCTGCTGAGCTTAAAACCTCTGGACCCCCCGCTCGGGACCCCCACAGCCTTTGGGAGGAGGAGGGGGAAGGATCCCAGGGGCAATTCTTTCCTCCCCTCCTGTGTGCCTGGCCCAGCACAGCCCCCCGGGAGAACCCAGGACTGAAACCCCCGGAGAGCCTCGGTGGGGTGCACGTGGTGCTCAACCCCCCCTGATTTTGCACCTCGGGGGCTCCGGTGAGGACTCGGAGGAGGCGACTGGAGCCCCCCCTTGGCATTTCTGGTGGTTTGGGGCTTTTTAATGGGGTTTTGTGCAGAGGCCTGAGGGCATTCGGGGGTGCTGATGCTCTGGGGGGGGTCCATGGTCCATTTTGGGGTGTCTGCACAGCACAGCCCCCGCAGTGCCTATGGGTGAGCCAGCACCAGCCCGGCAGGGCCGCGGCGCCCGGGCTGAGCCGAGGGAGATGCCAATAAACAGCCTGAGGACAAGCGTGTCCCCTCTCTGTCACCTTGCTCTGCCAGAGAAGGGAGCAGTGCGATGTGGCCGTGTGTCCTGCTGCCCCCCTGGGCTTGTGGCAGCCCTACGGCACCGGGGAAGGACCTGGGCAAGGGGTGAGAGGTGCTGGATGAGCCCAGAAGGGTGCAGGGAGCTGTGGTGGCCGTGTCCTGCACGTCCCCATGGCAGCGGGGTCTGGAGCTGCTGGGAAATGGGGCGGTGGGGCAGGAGACCCCACTGCCCCAGCACTGAGGGCACTGCCAGCAGCAGCCCTGGCACTGGGGACGTCTCCTGGGCTGGTTCAGCCTCCCTCTCTCGCTCTGCCCTTCAGGCCCGGCAGGAAAATCCAGGTGATGCGTTCGGGTTTCATCACCTGTCACCGGCGGGGGCTGGGGGTGGGGAGGGCTCGGTTACCGACAGCGCTGCCAAAACACCGGATCCACGCCAGGGGCTGCCAGGGCTGTGGGGTCTGCACCGTCCCTGTCCCCTGGGAGCCCCTGGGAGCCACGTCCCG